TCTATGAAATGCACAGATAAAAATACAGCTCAGCCCTTAGCCCATAGTACCAATGATTGATCACCTTTCTGCCTGACCCTTTACTCATGAAAGTTTCTGTCACTCTCACTGAATATTTGTTTTATTTCAGAAAACCTGCCAATGAGTATACAAAGTCTTTCTCTTTTTTCTTGTTTGTATAGTCTGGTGAACACCCACTTCTTTTACTGACTTGTTGTCATGCTTAATATAACAAAACAAGAAGAGAAACTTGTTTTTCTACTATCTAGGAAGAAGTCCACAGAATTAACCAGAACAATGTATAGCAATTAAAGGCTCTTTGCCTTTCGCAGCCCATGGACAATGTTTAAGTTACTCAAAAAAGGGAGAATCTCATTCAGTATGTTCAATTTGTAAGTCAAGGAACAAAAACAGCTGTTTCTTTTCCTCCCCATTTTTCATTTGCAGAGCAACTCCAGAGAGAAAATGGTGAGTTGGCCTAAATTCCTGCATAGTGAAAGATCAAATGTCAGACCTGTTCCTCTTTTCCAATAGTTTCCAAGAGATCCATCTGCAGCAGAACTCCTCCTATTGCACGGCCCATAATCTGGGAAGGGCAGAGTCTGTAGGTGACTCTGGAATTGTGCTATGTCAAGGAGGAGTGATCTCACAGCAGTTTGCACAGGACGTTAGAGGAGAAGAGGTGGAAGAAGGGAAAAAACTCACGTCCCAGGAACTGAACAAGTCCACTTAAGATAAAGCCTCTGGGGTGTGAGGCAGAATAGAGTTGCTACTGTTGTGCTACTTTAATAATAGATCCCATGCAGATCCACCTCCTACCTCAGGGATGGAGGCAGAATAAACATTCCCAATCAACTTCAAAAAATATGGGAAACCACATGTTGTGCAGAGTTTCTGGACGGAGCTAAGTCGCTATCACCATGCAAGGGAAGTGGTGATACAAATCTAGTCCAACATACTGGAAGGTTTTCTAGAGTAGGAAAATAGAACCAAATTCTTCTGTGTTCTCTCCTAATAAACACATTTCTTGATGAACACCACAGATCAGATTTGGCATTTGATTATGTGTATTTTTAAAAAAAAATGTGATTGAAGAAACCAGTTTCCATTCAGTCATTTCAGAGCTGAAATGGGTTTTGGGAAATAAAGTTATTGCTGAAGTCAAGATTTTACCCTTCATTCAGTACAGTAAACTGAAGTGGCAACACATCCATTGTCCTCAAATTTGATCCTGATCCACGAGGATCAAATTTGTGAACAAGGAATTACATATTTTCAGAAGTATCCTTTTGTTTTTTCTTGTAGCCCTGTTCAAGCGGGAGAAGGGTCATTTTATCAATGGGGGAAGCTGGGGAGGGAGGATTTCTTTAACTGCAGCAGGTCAGGACATTTCTGCTTTTGCAGACACAGGAAAGTGTGTTTTGTAACTGGGACTCAGGAGACTCTGGATAGTTTTCAGTAGCAGATTGTCTTTCTCTGCCTGATCCAAATGGGGATGTGAAACTGGGACAGTTGAGAGAAAAGAAATGTTCACTAACCAAATAGCCTACAAAAACAAGAATAAACAAGCTGACACATAGAGAAAGGTCTAGTTTGTTAAACCAATGGCTAGACTGCAACGGTGCTTTGGCTTTGGTTTCTCAGTGCGATTTTATCAGAGAAATGCTCAAATGCTAGTTCCAAATTGCACCAAGTGACTCTTCATATGTGTTAATCAACTATATGGGATTTAATACACTACTCAGGGGGTGAAGACGTGATAGAGAAGGGTCAGTATATACCCTGGCATGGGACTCCCTTCTGGGAATTGAAAGGAATGTTTGTTCCATGCTCCCTTGCTGAGTGAGGATTTCCCTTCACACAGCAGATTGCAGAGCGCCCAGGAATCCAGATAGAAACAAAATATCTGCTAGAAGCCAGACAGCATGTGCTGGAGCTCTGTGCCTATCTGGCAGCAGAGCATTGTGGGTGTTGTCCCCTTCCATGCTTAGAAACTCCAGGAGATGCAGTTAACTCCTTGTTATACTACCCTATCAGAAGGTCCCCATGCTGGTGCAGTTCAGCATCCCAGTCAGCTTTGCTGACACAAGGTTGAACTTCTCCACCACCCTTTATCTGTGAAAGTATCAGAAGGAATTTCTGTCTGCGTAAAATCGTAAGCACTTGGTTATTGTAGCTGTGTATTCAAAAGAACAGAAAATCATTGAACATTGTGAGTACGTCTAGACTGGCAAGATTTTGCACAAAAACAGTCGCTTTTGCACAAAAACTTGCCAGCTGTCTACACTGGCCGCTTGAATTTGCGCAAGAACACTGACGATCTAATTTAAGATTGTCAGTGGTCTTGCGCAAATATTATGATGCTCCCGATCAGGGATAAGCCCTCTTGCGCAAATGTATTTGTGCAAGAGTGCCAGTGTAGAGAGGGGAGGACTGTTTTGCGCAAAAAAACCCCAATGGCGAAAATGGCAATCGGGGCTTTCTTGCGCAAAATCGCCTCTAGACTGGCCATGGATGCTTTTGCACAAAAGCACTTTTTGCGCAAAAGCACCTGTGCCAATCTAGACGCTCTTTTGCGGAAATGCTTTTAACGGAAAAACTTTTCTGATAAAAGCATTTCCGCAAAATCTGGCCTGTCTAGACACAGCCTGTGAGTGCAAATGCAACATGCTTCATTAAATAAATATTATCAAGACCCTTTCAAGCACTGACACCCATTTAGATTTTTGCCCTATTGACTTCTTTTCCATTTAATCATGATCAGGAAGATTCTTGCCAACTTTATTAAATATGTTTGGGACCTAATCTCTCATCTAGTCTTCTGTGTGGGGGAATGGGCAAATGACTAACCTCACAG